TTTTAAACTAAAAATTTTTATTAAAAAATTTAATTAATTTTTAAAATTTTAAATTAATTTATAATTATAAAATATTTGAGTGTTGCTAACTTTCACCCTAGATGACATCACCTAGCTCAGAAATTGGGTCGGAAGTGGGTCGGAAATCAGGTTAAAATTAGATTTATTTATTAAAATTTATTAATAATACAGTAATAAAATTGAATTTGTACCACTTAAAATAAATCTAACTACAATATACTATTAACGCTCCCTTAATGCAATTTGCCAAAAAGCAGCAAAACAAGACCACATCACAAATCAAAAACAGAAATACCTATTTACTATTGCATACTACTTACTACTAGTCACACACAAAGTAATTCTTACAAGCACACAGATGGGTAATTTATAACTGAACTTGGCATTGTATATTCATGAAGTGATCAAGTCATTGCAATTATTGTGGCTTGTATAAATTTGTAAAATTTGTTGATAAGAAATTGCCTAACAATCAAATAAAGATCTACGAATTTCACAAATTTATTCAAGCCGCAAAAATTGAAATGATCAACATTTTTTGCCAATCAGGTCACAATGATTAACTCCCATAGCGTTCTTATGCAGCACCTTTAGTATAATTTGCCAATAGTCTAATACTCCTCAAATCATTTCACTAGTATTAATCATTCTATTTAATGAGAGAGTAAGTATATGGAATCAAAACTGCAAAACAATGACCGATTCCTGTATGAGTTGCAGTTTTGTTCGGGTTTCGATTGCCTGATCACAATTATATAATATCGCTAGAAAAAGAATAAGTTATTAGTTATAATAGTTATTAAAGGAATTGAAAAGTATAGTAACAAGATTGTATATATAAAAAAAAAAAAAAAAAAAAAAAACTTCTCTTTTCGAATGATCGTAGTTCACGTAATGTTCAATCGGTAATATTTGATCGGTAAAGGAAATTTCGGGAATGGTAAATTAATGATGCAAAATATTGGTTACAAAAGTCAGTCAGAGTATAGTATGTTGCATAATAAATGTCATAATAGCGTAAAAGTAAAAATTGTGTGATTAATATATTAATTAAAAGTTAAGACTTGTATGATCAAAAAATGATATAAGAAAATAGAGAAGATATATAAAATAAAAGAACAAAAATAAAGAATTAATTAGTGCTTTTCCCGATCACTATTCCTCTAATATTTGTTGTATTGTACAAACCACTCTACCTTGTCAAATTATTATTCTACTTATAAATGGAAGACAACGATTGTGGTGATTTATTCAAATCATTATGTTTTCAATATCCTTGTGAATATGGCGCAGAATGTTCTAGTTACCATTTAGAACCAGATAATGAAGTTTTATATAGAGATACAGAGATACTTGATGAAGCTTCAGTAGGTAAAGCTCAACTAGAAGAACCAATTTATGATGAGGATCACCATGATGACGACGATGACGACGACGATGATGATAGTGAAGAACAAGTAAAAAAATTAGTATTAAATACAGATAGCAATTTTGATACATGGGACCTAGTTGATAAATTCCTTGATGACTATACAAAGCAAGAAGGCTTCACTGTATGTAAGAAAAGGCGTACATTAGATGCAAAAGATAGTACCATTATAAGACGTCAAATATATAAATACTCTTATGCTGGTATACACAAACCTCAGAAAGAAATTCTAGAAGAGAACAGAAAGGATCAAGATTCACATATGACTGGGTGTTCCTGGCACATTATTTTTGCTTTTCCTAAATCAGCTAATAAGATTCAAGTTAATAGCATAATCGGTGAACATAATCATAAGTTAAATTCTCTCATTGCAGAAATAGCACCAAAATTCAGAAGGTTAACAGATAAAATGTTAGAAAAAGTTAAATTTTGGACAATTCATGGGAGAATGGGTATAGTGACCCAATACAATTTATTAGTTGCATCGTTTCTGTATAAAGTAATAAATAAAAAAGATTTGAGTAATGCTATACAAAGATTTAAAAAACAAGTAAAACCAGATAAAAATGATGCATGTAATATACTTACCACGTTATATTTAAAAAAAGATAATGATCCAAGATGGATAATAAAGCCTCGGTTCAAGCCAGATGAAAGAAGGCTAAATTCATTGTTTTAAATGTTCCCCGATCAAGTTAATGCTTATGAAAAATATAGAGATGTTGCAATCATTGATACAATATCTAAAACTAATCAATTTGATATAATATTAATGTTAGTTATAGTTGTTGACAACAACTTTTAGAATTTAATAATAGCTGCTACACTTTTAGAAAATGAAACAGAAGCAACATTCACCTGGGTTCTCCAAGAATTAATAAACTTTTGTGATACTGCTCTAGTAGTTTTATATTCTGATGCTGATCCAGCATTAATATCGTCTGTAAAAAATAATTATCTAGAGACACGACATCTTCATTGCATTTTTCACATTGACCTAAACTTAAGAAAGAAACTTAAAGGAAAGTTGAGAGATGAGTTTGAATCATTTCGTTCTAAATTTTTAATGATGCGTAATTCACTTTGCCATAATAAATTTGAAACCCAATAGAGTACACTTATCAACGAATACCTGGAATGTAAAAACTATCTTATAAGAACTTTATATCCTTGTAAGAATAGTTGGGCCAGTTACATGATCAATAAAAATTTCACTGCCAGGATTCAAAGCACACAGTGAGCAGAAATATGCAATAAAGTAATCAAGAACAAGTTAACTAGATCTTCACATTTGGCCGAGGTAGTTGAGAAAATTCAAAAAGCCTTTAATAATCAGTCAAAAAGGCAATTTTAAGTGAATATAAAAATGAAATTCCAACAAGAGAAATGCCAAGTATAAATGATGAACACTTTTCTGGGCTAGATAAAATCTTACAAGAGTATTTAACACCACAAATTCTTCAAAAACAGCGTGATCAAATGGCGCAATCACTATGCTATGATGTGTTTTTACACAATAATTGGCAATCACTTTTGGAGATAAGGTTTATTAAGTTATAAAAAATTAAAGTATAACAAAAATAGTAACTAACATATTATTAACGAACTTCCCTTTGATATAGATAACAGATGATTCTTATCAACAAAATATAGCCAGAGAAGATGATTATGATCAACCACAATCGCTATTCTCGTCATTGCTGGAAACAATACCCCATGATTCTGTTAAAGAAGTATGGAAAGTAATTAGACATAGCATACAAAACTCAAAATCACAATATATAATTATTCTTAGTGATGGCTCATATTTATGCACTTGCCTTTTGCTAATCAATAAAGAAATAGTGTGCCGACACTTTTTTCATATTATGTCTTACTCAGCTAATGTGTATTTTCATATTTCATTAATTCCTTAGCGCTGGTACAATAACAACAAATATAACACTAGTCAAGAGAATATACCGACTTACCAGTTCACTAGAAAAGAACTAGAACTATCTTTACACCAACCTTTAACGTTTCAACATTTGGTAGGATTTAAATAAACACATATCGAACAACTACAAGGACCTAAACAAAAGTATAGATTCGGAATGGGTTATACCAAAAAAGCTCTTGATCTTGCAATTCAAGCTGACAAAGTTAAAGAATTTGTTAGTAACTTGAAAAATTTCATTGAAGTGACAAAAAGTGATTTGTTTAGCACACAAGACAATGCTAGTTTTATAAGCATTAAAAATCCTTTACACGTACCACATAAAGGGCAACAACCAAATAGATATAAATCCGGTAGCGAACCTTCAAGAAAAGCCCAACATATTGTTTAAAGTACTGATCAAAGCAACAAAGGTGAAATCCAAAAAGTAACCGAAGCTAATGTTAGTATCTTACAATATTTAGAAAAAAAGGTTAGACGGTGTCATAAATGCAAACAAGTTGGTCATTATGCACCAACATGTCCAAATGTTAATGATTAAAAAATACAAATATCAATGCTATAATGGAAAAATAGAAGTAAAAGTGTTATATGAAACACTGCTGCAATAGGAAAATAGAAGTAAAAGTGTCACGAAATGCAAAATGTTAACAAGTAAAAAATACAAATGTCAATGCTGCAATGGGAAAATAGAAGTAAAAGTGTTATATGAAATGCAATTATATGTATATTAGCATAGCATTATGTAGTAATAAATCAAATAAATAAATCATATCGATATCGATATGTAAAGCTATATTAGTGTTAGTAATAAATCAAATATATAAATAAATATATATATAAATAAATATATATATAAATAAATATATATATAAATAAATATATATATAAATAAATATATATATAAATAAATATATATATAAATAAATATATATATAAATAAATATATATATAAATAAATATATATATAAATAAATATATATATAAATAAATATATATATAAATAAATATATATATAAATAAATATATATATAAATAAATATATATATAAATAAATATATATATAAATAAATATATATATAAATAAATATATATATAAATAAATATATATATAAATAAATATATATATAAATAAATATATATATAAATAAATATATATATAAATAAATATATATATAAATAAATATATATATAAATAAATATATATATAAATAAA